GCCAAAGTGCTTGCTCATAGGGGGTCATATGATTGTTTGGTTTTTCTCTGTATCTATGAAGCGCCTTGAGGCGACTTTTGTTGTGATTTGGCGCTATATAAATAAAATTGAATTGAATTGAATTAAATGGACTGGTTCTTATATAGCGCTCTATCTGAACACTCAAAGCGCTTTACACAACTCGTTCATTCCCATTCACACAACCACTTTTCTACGTTTTTAGTGCTGTCTAACTAACATTCATACACACATTCACACTCTGATGGATGCATCGGAGAGCAACCTGGGGTTAGAGGTCACACTCGCTGACGATGACTTAATCAAACTTATTTGTCTGCTGCTTGCCTATTAGCAGTAAAGCTGTACATTTTTAAACCATACTGCTGTATATAGCTCAAAGAAGAAATTATGATATTTTAATTAAATAAAGGCTATTTTCTGTAAACATGGCAATAAGTGTCCCTTGAAATTTTGCCTCATTCTTCGGTCTCCCTTGGACATAAAATGTTTGAAAACCACTCAAATGCTCAACAATTATTTCACCATTGTTATGAATCATAACACCAAAACAGAACGTTTTTAGAGGACAGTTAATATCACAGGTTATACATAAACAGAAACTGAAAAGATGAAAGGGAAAGATGTTTCCTGTTATTGAGAAAACATTCTAACTTCTTCAAGCACCGATAAACCTCACAGAGCGATTCTTACCCCTAATACCGCCATGCGTCAACTGTGGGTGGTGCAGCAGCCACGTCTCTTCCTGTGGTTGTGCGGCAGTCAGTGTTAGCTGCTCATCATGAAGAGCCTCTTATCAAAGCCTACAAACACAGAAAGAAGCAGATTTAATATTGTAAAATAATTAGTAATTATAGCAACAGGGCCTTGCTTTAATATCTGTGAATCAATTCACCTGATTTTGATGGTTTAAAAGATCATCAGTGTCTTATACATAAAAAAGCTGTGAATCAAATATCAACCATCTACCAAGCACGGCTGTGGTTCCTACAGGTCTCTAAATCTGCTGTCAGATTTTAAGCATCCATCCTTCTGTTAACTTGAGCTGCTCTGCATAATCATAGAGCCAGAGTACCAGATATTTAGCTTAATAATTATTTAGATTTTTAATTAATAAAATCACAGCTTTATATTTGGTTGTGTTTTACTGAAAAACCAAAGAAAGAAAGCCACCCACAGTCAAAACACTCTGGAAAACTACACATCTCAGTACCACCCACACGCCACAACGACTGCTCGGCCAGAGGGAACACACAGACACACACACAGACACACACACACACACAAAAAGCAGGATTGACTGAAACCCCGCTTTAGTTTAACATTGCACAGCGTTCGTGAACGTCACCGTCGTCCTCCACACAAGGAAAGCGGCCACGCTGCAGTGACTGGCTCTGCCGCCGCTGTGTGATTCATCGCCTAATTGTAGGAGTCCAACCACACCAGTCACGATGGGCAAACACACACCACCCCTAACGCTCCTTCAAACACACACATACACACTCACAGCTTCAAAAGAAACTGCCTTCAATGGTGAGTCTGCCATCCTGCCAGCCTTCCTCTGTCTGCTCATCAGACCATGAAATTAGCCCAGTTAGTCGACAGAGATGACATGCGGAGACGGTTGCTGAGGACACACACACACACACACACACTGTACGGCGGCCTGTTACAGATCGGCTGCACGCCGATGAGATTCACACACATGTTACAGTCACATGACATCCAGCAACCTTTCTGTGATGTAATCTTTGATATTTCTTCAGACGTGAGGTTGAGTTCAGAGTTTCCAAAGCCTGAGATGACCCCCACCGGGAATACACATAAAAATAGCTTAAAATAAATGAGCTTAAAAAAGGAACCAGCATGAAACATCATTTTACCCTAGCCTCATCATTTGCCACAATATGTGGATGACTTTTAAATGTAAAAACCACAGTGCCTCGTGTATCTACTCCTGTGGTGGATGCTCAGACTTAATAGTTAGGTCAGTATAGGTACAGATAAACTCTGTGAGCCAAAAGCTTAAACTTCAGACTGCTGTAAATACCATGTTCATGACATTTTGTTCTTCTTCTTTGTTCGTCTATTACGTCAGAGTGGAGATATCCTTCATATGGTTTTCTCAGGAAAATTGCTGCTGCTTCAAGTTCAAGGGCAGCCAATTAGGAGAATGATGGCTTAAAGGCAGGTGTGGGTTATAGTTATATTGGGACTCAACTATACTCTGTTGCAGACCCGAGGGCCTAGTAGTCCTTCCTGTAATACTATACATGCCTATAGAGACAGGCATGCAAACATCTGACGATGAAATTTGCACCCCACGGTCCCTACTGCTCCATGGATACGGAAATTATAATCCTGGCCTTGCCGGCACCAACTTATGAAGAGATGTATATTAAGCAGAATTGAGTTCAGATTATTGGTGGAGCCCTAGTCCTAGTTTCTCATGCAGCCTCTGGGAAAATTCATTGCCCAACGCTGATTTAAAGGGATGCAGTAGGGAGCTAAAACAAAATTGTTCAACAGAAAGACTGACTGAGTGGCTCCATCACACAACATTATCAGGTAAACGAGGCTTATTTGTCCCATTTTGAGTCCAATAATAAACACATAGGAATAAAACTCTCCTTGAAGCATGTCAGCTGCTTTGAAATACACATTTGTATACCTGAACTTTACATTTCAACATAAGAGACCCTCACTTTAATGTAATGTTATATAACATTACAGGCTTCCTGCCAGTTTTCATGTTCCCAGAGGTGTTGGATGTAGTGTTGGTCAGTTCTTTCACACAAGCCTGATAAAAACGGCTTCTTTGTAGCCAAATGCACACTGCTGATACTTTCTAAAATTTGTCATTTCTTGCTTTACCTCAAGTGACTAATTAGGTATTTAAAACTTGACAATTATTGGCCCATAGCAGCTCTAGTATGCTGAAGCATCAAGACATAACTGACTAAAAACAGAAGAGGAAGTGTCCACAAACTTCTGGCACTGCAGCGTGCATGTGAGATTAGTTTGCAACCTCTAAACAAAACAATTACAAACCTGTAGCAACGTCAGTCTTCCTCATGGTATTGGATTTCATCTTTATCACATGCACTGCATCTGTATTTTTTATGAACACGCTGTTCTGAGATCACTTCATTATTTGGACAGCATAGGGAAAAAAATGCCTTCAGGCTGTCAGAGCTTTGCTTTCAAATCATATTTGACCATCTATGTCTGTCTGTGGGATGGAGTAGAGATGAAATATACAGTATATATAAAGCGTACCACATAACAAACCACAACTGAGCTCAGCTCAGTTCAGTTCAGTGCCAACTTCAGGCCGCTGCATTCAGGGTCATTTAAGGATACCAGCTATTTAAAAGCTGCAGAAAGCAGCACAAAAGGCACCGCGCTTCTACCATTATATTAGAGACACTTCCACCATTGTCAACTATCAGATAAAAGCAGCATCCTGGAGGACAAGTGGGTAAGACACACAGCTTTTAATTGCAACTACCATTATCAAATTCATGAAAGGTCTCTGATGCATTTCAGCCTCCTCTGTGTCTCAGCTCATTTCCTGCCCGTCTCACCTGTCAGCAGCAGAGGTGGGAATCACAGTGACTTACAATCTGATACCATCATTTCACATTGCCCGCTGAATTATGCATTTATTCACCGCGTCATTGTTTCAGTGTGTGCACCAGTGGTGTTCAGTTTGAACGAAGCATCAGCTTTATTAATTAGTGCCACACTACAGGCATCTGGCAACACCGTAACAATCTGATACCAGGGGTAATTTGGTGAGCTGTAGGTCACATTGGGCGATACACATATGTTACACCCTGGACAGCTCGCCAGTCCATCTAGTACTCAGAGCAACAACTGCTCACCCCTGAGGCCAATTTAAAGTCACCAGTTAGGCTAATGTCTTGGACTTGGGAGGAGGCCAGAGTACCTGGAGAGAGAGAACCCACACAGGCACAAGGAGAATATGCAAAGAAATAGAAAGGTTCTACCCAGCTCCTAAATTATTCACAATATAGTTTTATTTCAGCTTTCCTGCATCTCAGTTTCACTCCAATGTGTCCTCACACATAAATCTCACGTGGAGTGAATCTGACTGGTGAAGTGAAATAATCTAAAAATCAAGCTGACATTACCACATTAAGATTACTGCAAGCACAATACAGCCCATTGTGCTTGCAATGCTTCCTAACAAGGGTTATGAGCAAATCTGCTGGGCTCCACGGGGTCTTAGTGACAAAAAATGTTGTCATCAGGTAGTGAAAGTAGGATTCTGTGTATGCCTGCCAGATTTTACTGACCACTACAGCGTACCGACCATGGCAGTCCTCAAAGAAGTATAGCAGGAATAACTGGTCTGAGTCCACAACAAACTATAAGCCCTGTTTTACAACAACCCTAAGAATAGTGAGAGCAAGAAACGCCAACACAGAAAGACTCACTATGACCACAGTTTGTGTTTAAATTTAATGAATAAATAAATATACTGCAAACATACCAAGAAAAGCTGTTGGTATCAGAGGTGTGAAATGCCTCCTAATTGCCAACTCTTTGCTGTTGGCTTCCTTCATCACTATACTCCTTTTAGCTTTTTTTAGGCATAAACAGGCGGATATGAGCCAAATATCTGCGCTGTGTATCCCTAAATGATGCTCTGAAAGCTTTTCCTTACTGCTTGACATTCAACCCTTAACCTGTATTGAAAAAGAAGAAACTTCACTTCTTTTTTCTTCACCCTCATTATTCTGAAGTCATGAAGTAGTGATTCAGAGCGGTAATTTGTTCAAAGTGTAGAAAAGTCTGCTTCAACACATTCACAGTAGATATAAACACAAATAATAACAGCTTCCTTTTTGCCAGGAGAAAAGTAAATAACTTTTGCTGTCCGTCATATTGAACGGCTTATTTGCACATTATATTTGCTAGAATCACAAAGAGCCACACGATATCCCACTTTTAGGCAAAACAATACAGCAACAGAGGCTACCCAGGGGGAAATTGTTCCTTTGGCAGCATTTTATCTACAAACTTCATTTCCTGAAGTCTGTAATTGTTCTTGTGATTTGCCACATCAAAGTTCCTGCTGCCTTTTCACAAAAAGATGTGAAAATAACTTCCAATATTGCACTTTTTGCTCTCACCCACTTTTATTTTCTCCTGCTGTCAGTCAAACGACCCCACATGCAATTTGCAAGAGGCTGTGGTGCACAGATGTCTCAGCCCAGCAACAAAAAGTGCTTCACCAGACAAGATCAGGTACACAGTTTAAGACTTCAAATGTTTTGGCACTTTAAATTTAACACATCAGGGCTCAAAAAGTTGTTTTTTTATAAATGTATCGGCTCATACAGCATCTCAGAATACTAAAAATGAAATCTCTTACACCAATCACCCAATCTAGTTCTGCCTGAGTTTCTTCCTCTCAAAAGGGAATTTTTCCTTCCCGCTATTACCAAAGTGCTTGCTCATAGGGGTCATATAATTGTTGGGTTTTTCTCTCTATTATTGTAGGGTCTACCTTACAATATAAAGCACCTTGAGGCAACTGTTTTTGTGATTTGGCCCTCTATAAATAAAACTGAATTGAATAGATCCATTACAATTCAGTACCACATGATGCGCGCCCCATGACGTCATTTGTATGGGACACAAACAAAACACAACAATGGAGGTGGTATACCTGCTGCTCGGTGCACGGCTTTTTGTCAGACTCGGCGACCATAATGTTGGTTTTTGGCCAAATTCAAATACGACAGTATTGATTTTTCATGAAGGAGTCGCC